TCTAGAGGTCACGAATGCATGAACTAGCTTTTCTGCATCAGAAACAGGTAACATGTTTCGTAACTTGGCAATGTTTCTAAGATGGAAGAATGCTGTTTTTGTAACATGGGAACTATGATTTTCAAAAGACAATTTGCTATCTAATATAACACCCAGATTTTTGACTGTAGAGGAAGTAATAGTACATCCGTCTAGTTGCAAATTGTAATCCAAGAGATTCGGTGTACTGTCTTTTGGTCCAATAAGTAATATCTCTGTATCTCCGAATTTAATAGGAGAAAATTATTGGTCATCCAATCTTTTACATTTTTAAACACACTCTGTTAGCTTAAATAATTTAGAAGTGTCATCTGGTCTTGTTGAGGTATATAGTTGAGTATCATCAGCATAACAGTGGAAACTAATCCCGTATTTTCTAATAATATTACCAAGGGGCAACATGTATATCGCAAATAGCAGAGGACCTAGGACAGATCTTTGTGGCACTCCATATTTTACAGGTGATAATTGAGATGACTCCCCATTTAAATGAACAAAATGGTAGCGATCGGACAGGTAGGATCTAAACCATCGTAAAGCCTGCCATTGAAAACCTGTATAGTTTTGTAATCGATCTATGTCATGATCTATAGCAGTGGTGGCGAACTCCGGTCCTGGAGAGCCGCAGCCCTGCAGAGTACAGCTCCAACCCTAATTAAAACTCACCTGCCTGTAGCTTTCTAGTAACCCTTCAGACCTTGATTAGCTTATTCAGGTATGTTTAATTAGGGTTGAAGCAAAACTCTGCAGGGCTGCAGCACTCCAGGACCAACATTCGATACCCCTGATCTATAGTGTCGAACGCAGCACTAAGATCAAGTAAAACTAGCAAAATTCATAAAGTCATTACTATTAAACTGTGAGGGAATATTTAGATCGGGTGGCGTCTGGTTATTTGTTAATCTAGCCACTGTGCTAATAAAAACCTTGGATTGTTTTGGTTATTTTCAGACATAGTTTTTCTACGCAATTCTAAAATCTTCCAAGTTAGTTTTTCTCCATTTGCGCTCAAGAATACGAGTTTCTTTCTTGAGAGAATGAATCAACGTGAATGTTAAAATCTCCGACAATTAGCATTTTATCAACAGTAACCAATAGGCCTGAGAGGAAATCTGCAAATTCTTTTAGGAAAACTGTATAATTTATCTGTATCACCTGGTGGTCTATACACAGTAGCCAGAGCAAGACATACGATAGATTTATTTTGCATATCTGACAGTGTAACATTAAGCCCATTTTCCTTATATTATTTAACTAATTTCTGGTTAGTTTATTGTTTTAATAGACTCTGTAATTATTTCCTTTTTATAATTCATTTTCTAAATTATACAGGGTTACATCATGTCCAGAGGTATGCTGTTCCATAGTCTAGGACCGGCTACAGAAAAAGCCCGATCCCCTTAAATTTCAAGCGAGAGTGAGGTATATGCAAGAAAAGTTTATCAGAGGATCTGAGAGAGCGAGAGGATTGCTGATAGCTGAGAAGTTTGGACAAGTATGATGGGGCTAGATAATTTAATGCTTTATACACAAATAATAAAATCTTTAAATGGATCCTATGCTGCACCAGTAACCAATGAAGAGATGCTAGGACATGAGAAATGCTTTCTCTCCTCTTAGTACCAGTCAGCAAACTCGTGGCTGTGTTCTGGACCAACTGCAAGTGATTCAGCGATGAATGATTGAGACCCATATAAAGCGCATTGCAATAATCAAGTCTGGAAATGATGAAAGCATGAATAACTATCTCCAAATCCTTAAACGAGAGCATAGATTTTAATTTGGCTATTTGCCTTAGTTGAAAAAAACTGCTCTTCACCACAGCACTTATCTGTTTTTCAAAATTCAGATCAGTGTCAAAAATCACTCCTAAGTTTTTAGCAAAAGGATGAATGTTTGATGACATAGAACCTAGATTAATAGTGATATCAGAGACAGCACATGGGGGTCCAAAGACAACAACAGTTTTGCTCTCATTTAGTTGGAGAAAGTTTCTGCCAGTCCAGCCTTTAATATTTTCAAAGCAATTAAAAAGGTCAGAATAAGAGTGATCAGAGCTAAGAGGAATGTAGATCTGACTATTGTCAGCATAACAATATGAAATATTATATTTCCTCATGATTGAACCCAAGGGGAGCATATACAAACAAAATAAGATAGGCCCCAAGAGGGACCCCTGAGGTACCCCATAGGTGAGCGGTGCGGAAGGAGAGGATGAGTTTCCAATCATCACCTTAACTGATCTATCAGAGAGGTATGATGAGAACCAATGCAGTGCCGTGCCCCTAATGCCAACTTCATCCCTTAGACGATTAAGAAGTGTAGCATGATCAACTGAATCAAATACAGAACTAAGATCAAGTAGCATTAAAATAGCAGATTTACCAGAGTTTAAAGCAAGGAGTAGATCGTTTGACACCTTAAGCAATGCAGACTCGGTGCTATGATGGGCTCTAAAACTAGACTGAAATTTATCTAAAATATTGTTTTGTGAGACAAATGAAGATAACTGATTAAAAATAATTTTCTCTAAAATTTTTGACAAGAATGGCAACTTAGAAATAGGGTGGAAATTTTTAAGATTGGTTGTATGTAAATTTGGCTTCTTAAGAAGAGGTGTGATCACTGCTTGTTTGAGGCATATAGGAACACGGCCACTGTCTAAGGATCTGTCTATAATAGCCAATACACTAGGGCTGATAGTATCCAGGGCCTCTCTAAGGAGCCGGGT